GGGGTGGGAGGGTGCCCTGGAGGGCGCCGGGGCCCAGCCGGGGACACGGAGCCGCCCGGCCGGGGTGGGGGGATGGGGGGGCCGGGAGCGGCTGCCCGCTGGGGTAGGATGGTTTGGGTTGGAAGGGACCTTCAAGAACAGCTGGTTCCAACCCCGCCGCATGGGCACACGGTCCGGTTCCAGTGTCTCGCCACCCTCGCGCTGAAGGGTTTCTTCCTGATATCTAAATCTACCCTCTTCCAATTAGAAACCATTGCCCCCCTTCCCCTCTCCCCGTCCTGTCACTACAGGCCCTTATAAAAAGTCCTTCCCCAGCTTTCCTGTAAGCCCCTTCAAGGTAGCGGAAGGGAAGACCCCTGTGAGGTCTCCCTGGAGCCTTCCCTTCTCCAGGCTGAACAGCCCCTACTGTCTCAGCCTGTCTCCATAGGAAAGGTGCTCCAGCCCTCGGATCCTCTTTGTGGCCCTTCTCTGGACCCTCTCCAACAGCTCCGTGTCCTTACATCGGGGGGTCCCAGAGCTGGATGCAGTGGGGTCTCAGAAGAGCAGAGTGGAGGGGGAGAATCACTTCCCTTGACTTGCTGGTAACTCCAGAAGTTGAAAAAAAGTTTTGAGAGCTTCATGAATAACCTGTTTGCTAGAGGTGAACGGCCATTCAGTGTCAGGAGGTCTGTGATAAAGCTGTGACAGTAGGGGTGGTGTCACCATCACAACTGGCTGTGAATTCTGGTATAGAAGTCACACGGTTTGTCCCTAAAACACCTGAGCATTCTAGTAACAAACACTTGCACGTGGCTGCACTAGGCTTGTAATGTTTGGTTAATTTGTTGCCAAAAAATTGTGACCGCCTTACTCAAAGTTAGGTTCTTCCAGAAGTTTTGTCTTTTGGGCTTGGAAGTTTTTGGAAACCAGGTAAAAGAATTACAGCTAGCACTACCAAAGCCACACAAGTATAACTGGAGTAGGAGCATTCTACACCTTGCATAACTGTGTACCATCTCAGGACCTAGGCTGGATACATCAGTCATTAGATTCCCCAAATTAATTATATTGTCTTCAGTTACATAATACGCTGGAGGAAGAGTGCCCTTCAGTGGGATTTATTTTTCTTTTTGAGGACATTTTTCACCTCCTATTTATGTGGTAATTTCAAGTTCTCAACTACACCACACTCATTACATATTTTCCATAAAATGATACAACTTTTTAAACACAATCGTATGTCTTACAGTTCTGATTCTGTCGCATGCCCTTCCATCTTCCGTTTCCCTGCCACATCATCCCAGATTTGCCCTCGTGGCCTTTCTTACTCCCTTTATGCCACCCTTCTAGTTTTCTGATTCTTTAATGTTTCCTCTGATTCTTCAGCATTTCCTGTAGCTTGTTTCCATGCATTTTCTCTTTTTTATGTGTCCTGAACCTCGTTTCCAGGTCTCCTGTGTTTTCCCTGTGCACTTTCACAGTAGAAAAAATGGCAGCTGCCTTCACTCTGAGGTCAGTGAAGTCAATTACAGTTTCATTTACTAAAGTCAGTTCAATTTTTGGGAAAAATAAGAGACAAAATAGCCACAAGGGTGTTTCTGGCATTGGTTCCTTTTGAAGGTGAAGAGAGGAAATGCAATTTTGAAGTTAGAAGCTATGTTATATAAAAATTGAAAACCAAGGCACCAGGTGCATTGTAAGAAAGAGCTGTTGGGCCTGCCATCCTGTTTCCAGTAGTGGCCAACAGCCTACCATGGGTCCCAGAGCAGGGCAAAGGTGCAATAATGAAAAATAAAAATACTTCCCTGGCTTCCAGTGGTCTGTGACTGTAGGGATTCCTGATTTGAAATGGTGTCGTCTTATTTCAGACTCCTGTGTTTTTTCTTCTCCTCATGCTTGTGATGATCTCTTTTGAAACCCAGACATGTTTCTGGCACCCTCAGCACTCTGGCAGGGGGTCCCACACCTCACCTATGTGTTCACTAAAAAAATACTTCCCTGTGTTTGTTTTGAACATGTCTCCTGCTTGGTTTTATATGATGCCTTTTAGTTCTTGAATTGGAAGGCACATAGAACAGCCATCCCAGTTTCTCTCCTTCAGTCATTCTAGTTCAGCTTTTCCATGGCATTTGTGACTTTAGAGCTGCTGTGGTATCCTCTGCTCAGTTGTCTTTTTTCCACACCGGTATTTTTAATTATTCCTCTTATGGCAGCCATTCTGTACCGCTGATCATCCCCATTACCTTTCTCTGTATCACATCTGGGTGAATTTATATTCTCAGAACTAGAGCTGTATTCAATCCTGATGGATTTATACATTGGCATAACAACGCTTTCTGTTTTGTCCTCAAATAGTTTCCTAATAATTTGTAGCATTTGATTGCATTTCCGATTGCTTTGTTCAGGCATGTTCATTCAACTTACTATCCAATTATTAATCTAATTTATGTTTTTGATGACTCTCCGCTTTTGATCAAGTGGAACGTGTCAATAGCTGTGTCTGTGCCAATTTCAATTGCATGATAATTTAAGTACTCACAAGTAATGAGCATTGTCAGCTTGGATGTCTTTCCCCTTTTTACTAAGTAATCAATTTTCTGCATTAGCAGCTTCCTTTGAGGTAAAGCCTGTTTTGTCTTTTAGCTCCTTCCTATCAATTTTTGTTGCCCATTACAAAGGGTCTCTGCTTTTATTTGGGATAGATGTCTGGTATTCTCATCAATAGTCTTGTCCTCACCCCTGGGTGCTTCCTTTGAGCGTTTGTTAGCACAGGCCTTCCTATTGCAGTCTTGGGAACCTGGCAGTAGAAAGCACATCTCAAAGCTGCATTTCTCTGTTAAGACAAACAGAAGTGTGTCAGTTCCAATGAACAGGGCTCAGCACATGACAATTATCTGACTCTTAAAAAACCTCACCTAATGAGTCAGTGAGAAGGGGCGTGAGGATGGCTGTGGCACAGCATGGGCTGGAGCCAAGGGAAAATCAGGATTGAAGAGGAACGCCCCTGCTGAGCCTTCCTGCAGCTCTTGCTCCAACAGAGCTCTGATGTGAGGTCCTACAGCTGCACAGCCGAAGTCAGCTCTGAGCACAGGCAGGTGAATTAGGGGGGGCAGTCATGTCCTCTGGGCTTTCTAAGGAAGAATGAAAAAGCTATTTTCTTACGGCTGTGCTTGCCTACTGACTTTTCCACTCTTCCATCTCTGCTAATATGAAGTAAAAACTTTTCACTTGACATACTGTATGTATGCACACATTTTTATGGTGTGAAGTTCATGGTCTTCATTGGTAAACCACAGTTTTGTTATAAAATGAAGATTTCTAAGACTTTTCTTCATTGCTTGAAAATATTATCAGTCTCCTAGTTTTAGACAAGGCCTAAAATACAGCATTTCCCCCGCTTGATCTTCATAAAATTAAGGATTATTTAAAATAATTATATTATAATTATTATAAATTATTATAATTATTATAAATAATTATAATAATTTATAATAATGTATCCTTCTTTTTACCTTTCCAGGTTTTATCAAGCAGTGAGAAAACTTCCTGTAAATTTTGCTTTAATACACGTTTCTTAATGTGTGAAGCAGAAGTTCTGGTTTCCTATGCAAATTAAAAACAAAGCAAACCTCAAAGAGGTTTTGCCAAAATGGCAAAAGCAGTCGAAGAACATAAAGGTAGCCCTGCACCCCGATTTCTTCGGTAGCTGATTACTCTGGGCAATATCTGTTTTCTTCTGACCTCCCAAGCTAGCTAATTTTTTATGACTCAACAGAAAAGGTTACAGATGACTGGTTTGTAGATTACTTGTGCATTGGTGCGTGTGTCGTGTTGAACTCTTAAGAAAAGCAAAGTTTCTATTAAGAAATACTTGAGAATTTCTGATGACTTGTAATGCCTTTTTTTTTTTTGCAGGTAGTTCTTTAGATTAAAAATGGAATTTCCAAAATGGCAGTCTTTTTAGAGAGAAGCAGTTGATTCATTTGTTGGTAGGGAAACAATTTATTACATGAGGAGTATGTTAGGTTGCAAAAAAAGGAGTAAGTCTCCTAACCCAAATTTTAACAGCACATCTGGATTTACAAAATAGTTGTATTCTGAAATTTAAGCTGTGTAAATTATTAATTTGGACCTATTTTGAACACAGGGACCTATTTTAATTTGGGGGGTTAGACTAGATGATCTTTTGAGATCCCTTCCAACCCTTAAGATTCTGTGATGAGCAGTACTGTTTTAATTGTTTGTAATACTTAATACCTGAGCACCTGCTCCAGCAAGCCTTGCATTCCTGTTAGCTCATGTGAGCAGGCGTGGGGTCTCAATGCGTGTCAGGGCAGGAGTCACTCCCGCCTGTCTAATCCCCCCATTCCCACTCGGTTCCATTTCTCTGACTGGCCTTGGTGAACTCCGCGCACCTCTAGTTATCCGCTGGCTTCCTGGGAGAGGGGAATCCTGCTCCTGGTGTAAGCCTCTCCATCCTCTCTTTTGTAGGTGTGTGCCACTGTCCCTGCTGCCTCTGCCCTTCTCCCCAAGGGCGAGGAGCCTGGCAGGTAGCAGCAGGGATACAGCGCCTTGCTGCTGTGGTTTGGTATTTCCTAGCCTTCTGGACATGGGCAGGTGATAATAGGGTAGCCCTGACATGCTGCACTTCCCTGTGCTATCCCTCTGTTTTGGATACTGTGTGGTTTTTCTCCTTGGCCTGAGGACAGTGCTCTCCTATGTCCCGTCTTATTTCCAGCCCCCACATCTTTCTTGCATCTTCACTTTTATCTTTGCCCTTTCTTTCTTTGACTTACTCTTGCAGGGATGTCACCTCACAGTTCTCTGGTCTGGTGAGGCAGAAGCAGCAGTGAGGGTGTGAATTGTAGTGGCAGTAATTTTAAAATTTTTGAGTTTGAAGGTGGTGCAGGAGCTCCTAACTCCAGTTTCAGCTGCCAAAACTTTGCATAGAAGAGCTTTTGGACTTGTGCAGCATTTTTGTTTCCCTCACTGTACCTGTCAGGCAGTAAGTGCTGGCACGAGACATGAGAAGGAACTAGGGTTGCCTCACATTGTGAGGAGAATATGTGGGGCACCCAACTGTCACCCAGAGGGGTGGAATGATTTAAGGAAGCAGCATTCTGGTTTTCCTCTGCCAGATTTTGTTTATTTCTGCAGCAGTTTCAGAAGTAAAACCTAGAGTTTCTGCTGACTTCCCTCCCCCTCCCAGGCAGTCCCTGCTCACTAAAAATGTGAATCACCAGTGTGCATGATGTGGTTTGGTGGTTTGGATTATCATTTGGCTTAGGAAAGAAAAGCTGCCCACTTCTCTGCACAGCACTGGTTAGTAGGTTCATTGTTTGTTCTCCTGGTAAGTGGAATCAGAACATGTATATCTATTGATGCACTATCACCTTAGTTCAGTTGTACAAGACCTCTAACCTTTGCCTTGGTGAGCTGTTACCAGTGACTTGAGGCCTCAGTGTATATGGGGCTACATCTGGCTGGCGACTGGTCACCAGTGGTGTTTCTCAGGGTTCAGCTCTAGGGCCAGTTCTGTTCAATATATGTGTCATTGATCTGGATGCAGGAGCTGAATGCACCATTAGCAAGTTTGCTGATTATATTGAACTGGTAGGTGCTGTTTTCTCTCCAGAGGGACAAGAGACTGTGCAGATGGATCTAGATAGAGTGGAGCACTGGGCAGTGATTAATGGGATGAAATTTAACAAGTTGAAATGCCAAATTCTGCACATGGCACAGAGTAGGACTGGGAGCAAGGATAATCTGGGAGAGGAGTGGCCAGAGAGCAGCCCTGCAGAAAGGGATCTGGGGGTGCTGGCTGGCAGCTGCTCAATGTGAGCCAGCAGTGTGTCCTGGCAGCCCAGAGGGCAAACTGCATCTGGGGTGCATCAAACACAGATAACCAGGCAGCCAGAAGAGATGATTATCCTGCTGTGTTCAGTATTGGTTGGTCTTACCTTAAGTGCTGTGGGCAGTTCTGGGCCTCACCATTTAGGAAGGGTGTGAAGGTCCTTGTATGTGTCCAGAGGAGGGCATCATGGCTGGTGAAGGGGCTGGAAGACACGTCTGGTGAGGAGCAGCTGAGGACTTCAGGCATGTCTGGTTTGGAGAAAAGGAGGCCAAGGGGTGACCTCATTGCTCTCTACAGCTTCCTAAGGAGGGAACATGAGGAAGGAGGTGCTGCTCTCTTCTGGGACCCTGTGATAGGACATGTGGGAATGTTTCAGAGCTCCACCAGAGCAGGTTCAGACTGGACATTAGGAAGCATTTATTTACCAGGAGGGTGGTCAAACACTGGAACAGGCTTCCTAGACAGGTGGTTAATGCACCAAGCCTGTTGGTGTTCAAAAGGCATTTGGACAATACCCTTAACAGCGTGCTTTAACTTGGTCAGCCTGGATGATCATTGTAGGTCCTTTCCAATTGAAACAGCCTATTCTAATTTCATGTGTTTCCTGAATTTTACTTTATCTCATAAGTGTAAATCAGTATACTGCTGAATGGCTTGGGCAGCTGCTTAAGATGGTGATGTTCTTTTCTCCACCATGTGAATAATTTTTCTAGAAGTTAGTGAGTCACTTGTGGCTGGTGACTCTCCCTTTCTCAGATATTCATCAGTAATAATGTATTAACTCTGGCTTGATTGCATTTATACACATGCTTTCACCTAGTCTGAAAAATTAAAAACACCTTTCCTGCTTTCTTTTGGTTTTGAAGATATATCTGACCAACTTTCTATTTTTATTTTTTTTTTTGGCTTGCTCTTTGATGCTTTCATCTGTTGATTCTATTGCTGACTTTTCTGACTTAGGGGCCAGCTGTGTATATTCTCATGTCAGGGGATTAATAATTTCCGATATAATTTTTTATTATTGTTGCTGTCAGACCATTTGTGTGAATGATCTTTTACCCATTTTCCTGCAAGCAGTCAATTTTGTAACACTATCAGCTGCTGAAACAAGTTTTATTTTTTACAGAGTTATCGGAGTGCTTGCATTTTTCCTATGGTCAGCTAATTAAGTCTGAAATTGTAGCTATTTAAATATGCAATTCTGTCTTTCCTGTTCACCATTTTAGCATCCGGTCTACTGAATATCTTTTTGGATATTCAGCTGTATGACAGCTCTCTGAAAAATGGAGTTTTTGCAGTGTCAGAGTTGCAAAACAGAGTTGCTGTCCTTCCTGAGGTTTTAAGTTGCTTTAATGTATGTACCTTTCTTTCCCAAGGCTTTAATTTTGAGAGAGAAACAGGACAGCATAGGGCTGTCACAGCCATCTCATTTTGTGTATCTTATTAAGCTTGCAGCCACAAAATTGGTATCAGCATTGTGGTTTACCCTTACTGGTTTACTTTGCTTTTGCTATACCTCTCCTAGCTGAGAAAAGCAAAAAAGAAACTGAACTCTGAAGCTGTGCCTGAACAGCTAGGCATCTTGCCACTTTCAGAAGAGCAAGCTGGGAACACATTAGATGCAGCGAAGTTGGTGCTGTAAAACTCGGCGTGAGATTCTGTGGATGGGGCAGGATGATATTTATTTGCAGAAAAGAAGAGCTGATTTTCATGCATTCACATGATCTGATGCATAGACTATGTTGGCACACACTGTCCATAATACACTCAGAAGCACCACACGTGCACGTCCAGATGCTGTGGCCAGGATCACTGGTGTGCAATGCAGATGATAAGGTGTCATAGTTAGCAAATCTTCGTTGCAGCACTGGGGTTTTTAGCATTACAAACTAGTTTTTGGACAAACCCATCATACCCTTCAGGAGTCATCAGCTGGTATGGGGATGCCCCTTTGCCACAGAAACTCGCTGACTTCAGGCTCCATAAATCTTGGGCCAAGTTGTTACCCCATTATTATTATTATTTTTTAACCTTTTCATTATTGTGTGTTTTTCCCTCGTTTGAATGCATGTTTGAAATACATGTCTGGGGTCTGTTTTTCTGTCAGGCCAAGAAGCGAAGGAATCTTGTTTGTTGTATGCTGTAATCTTGTTACCGTCCTCTTGGTGCAGGATCATTTGCTCATGAGTCATCTATTCTGTGGTTTTACCAGAGTGCAGACCTTTTGGCCATGACATAAACAGCACATTTCTCAATTTTGCTGCTGGGAAGAGTGTTCTGATAACAATGTCCAGGGAATGGTGTCCGTACAGGGCAGTTCTTTTAACCCTTTGTTCTGCTGTTCCTGTCTCTGTGTGTGTGTGTACAGTCACACTCTCTTACAGTCGTATTTGAGTCATGCCAATCTTGTTATTTGTGTAACATTTTTGACAACAGTTATTTTCAAAATGAAAAATAGCAAGTAAATATTAAAGGAATTAAAAAAAAAAAAAGAAAAAAGTGCACATTTTTGTGGCAGACTGTTCAGACTGAATGTTAACAGCTGCAGCTTAGACTGGTGTATGTTTCACAGGGGGAGAACTTGAAAACCAAGCCTTCCCATGTTTCTGGTGCTGACTTGCTCAGGAGAACTTTTGGAAGCTTTCAGTACTTTATATGCTGTGAGATCCTATCCTGGCTTCTTATTCCAAATTTCCCATCTGGTTTATTTATTCGGTAGAACTGCAAGTACTGGATGTGTTCCTCTCTCTGGAACAGTTTCTACATGTGCAGTCTTACTGCCTTCCTTAATAAAAGCATTCTTTTTCTCTTCAATAACTTTATTGCAAGCTGCAGCATTTTCAAGACATTGCATCTATAAACTGCACATCACAAAAACTATCTGCTTTATATACAGCCAGTTTGTCATAGAGACCGTTGTATGACATATTAATAACACAGATGACAGGCTTGTGTTGGGGTTTTTTGGGGGGTAAATAATCTCACACACACACTTTTGTCACTGCAGGTTCCTTATATTAGAATTGGTCAAGTCAATTGAACTCATTGTTATAATAATATTTAATTTTAAGTGCTGAAGACAGCTGTGCAGACTGCAGGGGCATAGGATGTTTTCTCACCTCATTTCTCTCCCTCTTTCTTTCCCTCCATATTTACAGGTTATCCTAACATTTGTCTGTGTGTTGATGAAGGAATCTGCAGGAATTGCTCCAATGCCATATACACTGCAAGTCTATCGGGAAGCTTTGGATGGAAGAGACCCCTCTAATCCCTTGAGGAGAGAAAAGAGGCAGGTGCAGTGTCAACTAGGACAATACCTACATCCCAGAGAGACCCACTGCTGCATGAGGTGCCATGCAGGTATGTAAAATAAATACAGTAGTAGTGACCTTCACTGTAGAGGCATTTCCATGTCCTGCACTCTCAAGCTGTCTGTCCTGCTGCTCCCTTTCCTTGATACCTATCACTACCCAGAGGAATTCTTATTCCTTGTATCTCCTTTTGGGCTGTTAGTGTTCTTCAGGCTGGTTAGAGGAAGCGTTTTTGGTCCTTACACAGTCAACTCCTGAGTTCCTGTGGAATCAATTACTCTTGTCCTCCCTAAGACAATGCATTTGCCTCCCTGTCAGAGCTCTGTTAAGTGATTTTCTTGTAGGTACCTACAAGGCAAAAGACTGTGATCGGCCTGACCAGGCACCTGTCTGTCTTCCATGTCCTAATGGCACGTTCACAGCTGTTGATAACACCATGTCTCAGTGCTTCCCCTGTACATACTGCCGTCGAGGTGAGTTATCTACAGGACCTGAGGAAAATGGGTGGTAGTGGTGGGGGGGCAGGGCTAGAGGGGATGGTAAGGTGAGTGTGGAAGCTTGGAAAAGTGAGCAATTGAATCGGAAGAAGGACACTGTATGGGAAGGGATTGGGGGAAGCAGGAATAGGGGTTGCCAAATTACTACAGTCCGAGACACAGTTTGCAGGCCTTGCTGGCCCTTCTCTGGGAAGATTAGAGGATAATGATACCTGTCATTGTCACAGTTCTCTCAGCTGAAGGTGAGGAAAGATGTTGGAATAACTGCTTCTCCTTTTTTTTTTTTTTTCCCTTCAGATTTCCGGCAGATAGTAGTGAGTCGTTGCACCCCAAAGCGAGATACTGTATGTGGCTGTCGGAAGAATCAGTATCAGATTGGCCTGTTAGATCTCTTTGAGTGCAGGGACTGCAGTTCATGTGTCAATGGAAGTATTGCCATTGTCAACTGTGAGTATGGCACGGATATGGCTCCAGTGCAGACATACTGTATTAGGGTAGAGATTAGCAGCATTCTTTACTTTCTGACAAGCTGCAGGACCTTGCCCAGTGATTGTAATTTTGGAAAATTCTTTGTCTTGCCTGCGCCCTTTGCCCAGAAAGACTGCTTGCCTTGGCATCAGTCCCTGTTTCTGTTGCAGATTGTCTTCCTTTTGTCCTTGAATGGTTTCTAAGTTTTGGCTGTTGTGAGAAGATACTTTCTACTTAATTTTGGTACTTCTGCCTTGCATGTTCTGAAGAAAGGTCTTTGTGCTCTAGAGCAGATTTCCCCCTTGCCTTCCTTATTTGTCTTTCTCCTGATACTCATTGTGTTTCCCTCACCAACTGCTGGAAGCACTCTGAGTACTGTGGCTGAAAATACTACTGATCCTAGGGTCCAGCTGAACTACTTGTCAGTTGGTTGCTGAGCCACCACAGTGTACTGTGCAGTGTTTTAAAGTAAGGAGCTGCTCAGGTAATGCTGAACTGTACCCAGTGGCATTGAGCATGACCTGGGGGTGGCGTCTGGGAGAAAGACCCATGATAGCTGTTCCAAGCTGCCTCATCTTCAGTCAGGAACTGGAGATCTTAACCAAATACTGCTTGTCGTCCTCCACTTTGTGCTGTAGTCTAATTCTGTTCATGTGCCTTAAATGCTCCTCATCTTGTTTTCCTAATGCTATCCCCTCTTCTTTGCAAACTCTGCTTTTCCTAATCCCTTTCCTGTCTCTTACCTTGCCTAGTGTGATATCTGCTGTCTCACTGATGAATGTATTCCCTCTGGTGCTCAGTATTCTTTCTCTGTCACACTTTATACATTTACACCTGTCCTCAAGGGTCATCATTGCATGCTGTCCTTGAGCAATTTCCTTCCCTCTTGGCTGATGTAGAACTGTTTTAGTCCTGTCCCTTGCTTGCTACAGATTGTATGCTGCTTGTTCTAGTACCTCTTTCACACAACTTTGTCCTTCTGTCAGTATTCTTGCCTGCTTCTTCCCACACCTTTTTTACTCAGTCTCCATGCTGTGACTTGCTTAGAAGCAATAGCTCTTTAATTTCTTAACCCTTCCACTCACAGCATAGCAGATCACAAGAGCGGGTCTGTGTCCAATGGCTTGAAGTGATTTCTCCGTACCCTTAACTGACTTCCTCACCAGTCCCAGCTGCTCAGGGACCACTTCTTCATACTTGCCTGACTAATGTGATTTCTCCTTCCTGTCATGCTTGAACTTGAGTGACTTTTCCCACTTTTGCACTGAAACTGTCATTATTCATTAGACCCATTTCAGCTGCACTGTAATTTTAGTCCCTTTCCAAGCCTCTACAGAGGTCTCTGACCTACCAGGACATTGGTACCCTCATTTGTTACCATTTTTATCCTTCCCCAACCCTGTCCTCAGACATAGACAGAATCCTCTTCTTCAGCAGCAGTTCTCTGGGCTCAAAGAGGGATAATCTCCCTCCCATCTTGGAGGGGGTTTTTCTCCTTTTTTTTTCTTCTCTGTTCAGATTATGGCAATGGTTTTGTCTTTTCTCTATAGGTTCAAAGAACAGAGACGCAATTTGCAAGTGTAAACCTCAGTTCTTCCGGACACTCAGTAATGTTTGCAAGCCTTGCAGCAGGTGATTTTTTTTTTCTCTGTATTCCCCTCCACTGAGTAGGAGAGACAGCAGACACAAGCCCCACAGAGGAAGGAAATTTTTCTCAAGGCTCTGTCCATCATGATATAACTTTACAACATTCTGCTATTTTGGAGTCATAGGGCCTCCCCCTCTGCCACCCTCAGTCTTCCCTGTGTAGGCATCAACCCACTAAGAACCCAAAGCTACACTGCATTGCTCTGCTTTGCAGGCTTATCTTGACTTGTCTGTTACTTAGGATAGTTGCAGATGGCTGGTGTTTCTCTTCATGCATGCTCACCTCTCTTGATTTGCTCTTTTCAGCTGCGTGGGAGAAGATTGCTTGCAGTGTCATAGTCCAGTGGCTACCTCACCGACTTCTTCTGGGCTGAGTGAGTACAGGGGGAACTGAGGAACAGTGGAATCTTTCCAGTGTGGGCTTTTGTTCTGTTAATGCCTTTTGTCAAGTATTATTTTCTCCACTATCTAAAATAATTTTTTTCCTCCCTACCATTTGCATGTCTTCACTTGCTGTTCTTTCTCTAGCACTTACCTTAACTTTCTCAGTCCTTTACTCATTTGTCTTCTTTCCTTTTGTCCAGATGGCAGCCTTGTCCTTGGCATCATCGTTACAATATTTGTAGTTATCTCTTTTCTCTACGTTATAAATAAAGTAGTGAAATTGGTCCAGAAAAATGGGACAGCATCGTCTTTCTTCTCCTGTGGTGAGTACAGCAGCATGTGGTGATATTAATTGGTATAGACATAATTCTCTGTCTGCTTGTGTATGTGCACACATGCAAGGGAAAAAGTGGGATCTTGTTACTCTGCTTTGCTGCAAGGCCAGAGGAACATGAGGACTTGACAGCTAAGCTTACTGCTGTAGTTCTTACAGCTCTGCATCTCTGCACACAGAGCTGTGATGGGAAGTGTGTGTGAGCTCATTGCTGGGACATCTGCATTTTGCTGTATAACCTTTTCGAGGGCAGGATTGTGAATATCTGCTTTCCTGTTTTCTCTGGGATGAGAGGAAGTGAAAATAACTTGGTTTTTTGTTATTTTTTTTCTTTAAAGTTCCTTTGCCCCAGACAACCAAGGAGGCACCACCTGAGGTGAGCAAGATGATGGTGTAAGAGTTTACTTGCACTTTCAACTATGTTAGCCTGGGATCCAGAGTAACATTTTCCCCCGTGGGCTGTTTTCAGGCCTTGTATTTTCAAAGGACATGAGTAATAGGGCTGTTTAATTCAGAAGTCTTTTCCTGTAGAGCGTGGAGCCATTAACATTTTAATTCCATTCTTCTAGAGGATGCTTTCCAAACTCCTGGCTTTTTGCTCTTTTCTTCCTGGATGCATTGCATCCCTTTTTCTCCCTATATACCCCAAGCTTGGAGGATTTAACTAATTTTACTTCTCTTCAGCTCTTGACCCCACAAGCCTCTCAATGCTGCTTCAATATTCTCTCAGATCCAATCTTGTTCTGCCATTAAGAGGGCCTAAGCAGTAGTAGAGGTGGGGTTTCCACAGCCTTACAGGGAAGTCTGACGGGAAAGATGGCAAGTGAAGCTTCTAGAATGGTGGTGATTTTCGGTCCCAGCCTTACTTGATTTTGCAAAGAAATATTTTTTCCAGACTACCATTTTTTATGCCAAAAGAGAATTAAACTCCTTGGGTTTTGCTGGAAAGAAAAGTTTGGTGCCTTCTGCTCAAACAAAGCATATAGGAAGAATTAAAAACCTCAGCACCTGCTCCCCACCTATCTTGGATAAATTTTAGTATATAAAGCTAGTGGTTTGTTGGAGTAGGCAGTTGTACTGTGCTGCTGTAGGTGATTCTGGACTAAGAAACTGTGTCTTTCAGAGTGAGGTAAAAAGACGTGAAATTTCCATCCTTCTTCCTGAGTCCCAGAAAGAAACACAATTGTTAGTGAATGCAACACCATCACCTGAACCTCCGTCACAACGTTCACAGGAGTTTTCAGACTCTGTCAGACCTCCCAGGAAGGCACAGCTTCCAGACAGTAAGTGAAACTCCTCCATTCTTCCTCCTTCCCCAGGCATACGAGAACCTGATTATACAGATGCAGCTAGGAGGATGTTGGACAGACCTCACCCTGTGTGCCTGACCTGTCTGTATACTTCATGTATGGCACAGTACAAAGCTAGAAGCATGCCTAGAGCCCCTGAGCCCGTATATGTTACACATAAACCCATTCCCTACCAGCAGGATGTATTGTCCTGTGTGGGGACATGCTGTCAGTCTTAATGCCTCTGGGATGGTGACCCAGAGCATTCTTTTGGTAGGAATGTGTGGCAGCAGGGTCCTAGGCATATGTGCTCAGCTCTGCTCATAACTTTACACAAGAGCATATGGAAGCATTGTTATTACTCTTTGACAGATAAGAGCAAGTCTAGACAACACAAGAGTCTGTGTGACTACTCTGTGGAAGATGTCAACAGGACAGGGAAATGCATGATCCCAAGGCACCATCCAGCACTGGATTACTCACATTCTCCCCTTAGGCTGCAGGATCCCTATTCTTACACTTTTATTTCTTCTCTTTTCCCAGGCCCTGCTATTCTCTACACAGTGGTGGATCATGTACTACCATCTCGGTGGAAAGAGTTTGTGAGGCGCCTGGGTGTGAGTGACACTGATATAGAGCGAATTGAGATGGAGCACCGGCGTCTACGAGATGCCCAGTATGAAATGCTTAGACTGTGGAAACTGCAGATGGGCCATGCTGCAACTCTGGAGCACATCAGCTGTGTTCTCAACCAGATGGAGCTGAGTGGCTGCAGTGAAGCTATTCAAGAGTCTTTGCTAAGACAGAACTCTCTGCAACCTTGCAGCCTTCACAGCCACCTTTAATCTATTTCTGCTTTAGTTGCCCTCACTATGAGTTTTGAGAGGATCGTAACTGTTTTCCTTTCCTTTCTTCCTTTTCCCATGCCTCCTTATCTTTCTAACACTCCTCAGCTGGGTTTGTTGGAGGCAGCAGCAGATGGTGCTTGGAGGAAGGCTGAGGTTTGCTTCTCAACCACCATGTAGTTCAGCATCTTTACATCAAGACAGGCCTCTGCAACAACTCCTTTGCCAAGGAGGGAAAGCACCTCATAAAGGAAGTGGTGTGTGGACTCTGACCAAGATGAAAACAGGAGCTCAGAGGGACTTGATAGATCAGCTGCTTCACAAGCAAGTTGTTGCTGAAACGGGTGCTGCACCCAGCATGTGGTGGGTAAACTTGTAGGGTGACTTGGTTAAGCTGGCTGTTTAGATAGTACTCGCTGACTTTTTTGCAGATCTAGTTTTTCTGCAAGATTCGGCAGTCGGAACTGGCTCACATTGCAGCCCTTTGATTGTTCAATCTGACTCAAGGGAAGTGGTGGGAGGACGTGCCTAGTTCTGGGAGCAGGAAAGGATTGCCCTCTTTTGGTGCCAAGTAGTTATCACTGTGGCAAAAGAGTCACGCAGACTCAGAAGTGGTGTCTCTGCAAGAAGCTGGAGGGCGTTGTCCTTTCCACATCCTTGCTTCCCTCAGGTTCAAGAATAATAAGGACTCAGAGCCAGTGAGTCAGATGAGAGGGTTGGTGCTTTTTTTCTCGAGACTTTTTTCTGTACCAAGAAACCATGTAAGATAGCATTAACAAACCACTTGCCAGTGTGTTTGTTCAGGTGCAGAGGGAAGATGAACGTGTGCATCTGTCTGGGTGAGAGGTACTTACATACCTGGTAGTGTGAGTACCTCTGCACATCTGTTGTTGCACACAGGTCGGTGGGCTTGTGTCTTCCTGCTTATCTATCTCTGAATGATTTGCTGTATCTGATCTAATTGCAAATGGGACTGTGTATATGTACATATATATATATATGTTTAGTAACTGTCGAATAACTTCACACTACTTGGACTAATGGACTGCATTCTGTGATTGCTACTTGGGTGTAAGAGATGTTCGGTACCATCTCCAGGCTCTCACCGTCACTTTATCGTGGGTATTACCCTGGGTGAAGGAGAAGTAGCAAAAATCAATTAGCCTGCATCAGGTGCAGGTTGTCCACACACTTGTAACGTGGATTTTTATTTTTTATTTTTATTAGTCCCTCATCCCTTGATCAGTGAGAAACTCTCTGTTGTAAATACACTAAATGCTCTGAATTAAAATTCCTATTTTTACTTCTGTTCTGGTTTTGTCCATATCAACTTCTGTGACTGTGGCTGTGGGTAGTAACATCCAGAAGTGGCAAGAGCGGGCTGCAAGAGTGGGTGGACTGATGGTCTGGTTTTAATATATTTTTTTTAAACACACGTTTTATCAACTTCTGTATGTAAAGCTTAGCTGCCCTCAAGTCACAGGAAGCTGGCTGAGGGCAGGAAGTAGGACTGAAATAAAATTCGGCTGCAGGTCTTCTGAGATACTCAATACTCATAGGGGATGCTAGCAGATCTAAACTGAATTTGTAGACAACATACAATAAGTAATTTTGATTTCTGTTTGGCTTTTTAAAGAGGACAATATCTTTAAATCAAATAATAATAGCTTATACTTTTAGACCTGGCACAGGCATGTTTTTGTCCAAGGAACCAGAGTACTGTGTTAAGGCAGTGAGGGCTTGTTCCTGCCCTCCCGGTGAGAAAACCTGCAGGTGAAAAGACTCCAAGTTCACAACAGTCAGTGACAAAGCCAGGCACTATCAGTCTTAATTCCCAGTTGAGGCTTTCTTTTGCTGTGCCTACATACTATTTTAATGGAGGCTGATTTTTAAAATGTATTATTAAATCAAAGGAAGCAACAAGGAGCTCACTGCGATGCACTTTGCCATCACCTTCCGTTTCATACTTTCTGTCCAACATTAACTACTATGAGTATATGCTCTAGATATGACACCGTGCTTGAAGTGGGCAGATCCTCAGGTATCTTCTCCAGGCTAACCTTTTTTTTCCCCTCTTTCTCAACACCAAGCCGTCCAACCCATCACTGAAGGTGTCAGGAGGCCGGCTGTGCCAGCCCAGCCGTGAGCAGCAGGCCCCAGCCCGGGGCCTGCCTGCGGCCGTGACACAGCAACTCGCGGCTCCGAGGCCTTCCGGGGCAGGCCAGAGCTCGGGCCGGCTGTCGGTGTGAAGATGAAGGCGCAGCCTCTCGGCGAGGCCCGAGGAAGGGAACTCGGAGCCGTTTCCCTTCACGTATCGTTTTGCCCGTCCCAGCCTGAAGCGGCGCTGCCCGAACGTGGATCATTCGGAGGATAAAGCGGCGGCGGCTGCTCCCTCGGGCCGGTCCCGCCTCCTCACGGCCACGGGCTGAGCCGGCCCC